GAATTTTTTTTTCCAGGGGGAAAATCCCTTCACGGATGATCCCGAGGAGAAGGAGGAGCACGAGGAAGGGGAAGGAGCAGCCGAGGAAAATCCCCAAAATCCCGAGGAAAATCCCCAAAATCCTGAAAATCCCACAGAAAATCCAGAAAATCCCACGGAAAACCCCCAAAATCCTGAGGAAAACCTGGAAAATCCCATGGAAAACCCTGAAAATTCCTCGGAAAACCCTGAAAATCTCAAGGAAAATCCTGAAAATTCCACGGAAAATCCTGAAAATTCCACAGAAAATCCTGAAAATTCCACGAAAAATCCCCAAAATCTCGAGGAAAATCCTGAGGATTCCGAGGAAAACCCTGAAAATCCGGAGGAAAATCCCGAGGAAATTGCGGCAGCCAAAAAGCGGGAAAAGGGACCAGGGACAAATGCAGAGGTGGAAAATTCCCCAAATTCCCCAAAATTCCCAAATTCCGAGGGAGCCCCGGAGCAGCAGGAGGGAGAGGAAGGTTCTGGAACGTTCCAGGAGTGAATTCCTGCCCGAGGGAGAAGGACCCGGATCGGCCCTGGGGCAGCCGGCCAAAATCCTGGAAGTTTTTGGGAATTCCTGGGGAAAATGGGATTTCCTTGGAGTTTTGGGAATTCCTGGGGAAATGGGATTTCCTTGGGATTTTTTTGGGAATTCCTGGGGGGGAAATTGAATTTCCTTGGGTTTTGGGGAATTCTTGGTGTAATTTCCTTGGGATTTTTGGGAATTCCTAGGAAAGAAGGGAATTTCCTTGGGTTTTTTGGGAATTCCTGGGGAAAAAATGGAATTTCCTTGGCATTTTGGGAATTCCTGGGGAAAAAACTGAATTTCCTTGGGTTTTCTGGGAATTCCTGGGGAAAATGGGATTTCCTTGAGATTTTGGGAATTCCTGGGGAAAAAATGGAATTTCCTTGGCATTTTGGGAATTCCTGGGGAAAAAATGGAATTTCCTTGGCATTTTGGGAATTCCTGGGGAAAAAATGGAATTTCCTTGGCATTTTGGGAATTCCTGGGGAAAAAATGGAATTTCCTTGGCATTTTGGGAATTCCTGGGGAAAAAATGGAATTTCCTTGGCATTTTGGGAATTCCTGGGGAAAAAATGGAATTTCCTTGGCATTTTGGGAATTCCTGGGGAAAAAATGGAATTTCTTTGGGTTTTTAGGGAATTCCTGGTGTTATTTCCTTGGGGGTTTTTGGGAATTCCCAGGAAAGAATGGAATTTCCTTGGGTTTTTTTTGGGAATTCCTGGGGGAAATGGGATTTCCTTGGGATTTTGGGAATTCCTGGTGTAATTTCCTTGGGGTTTTTGGGAATTCCTGGGGGGGAAATGGAATTTCTTGGGGATTTTGGGAATCCTGGGGGAAATGGAATTTCCTTGGGATTTTGGGAATTCCTGGGGAAAAAAAGGAATTTCTTTGGGTTTTTGGGAATTCCTGGTGTAATTTCCTTGGGATTTTTTGGGAATTCCCAGGAAAGAAGGGAATTTCCTTGAGTTTTTTTTGGGAATTTCTGGGGAAAAAATTGAATTTCCTAGGGGTTTTTTTGGGAATTCCTGGGGAAAAAAAGGAATTTCCTTGGGGTTTTTTTGGGAGTTCCTGGAAAAAAACATGAATTTCCTTGGGGTTTTTGGGAATTTCTGGGGAAAAAATGGGATTTCTTTGGGTTTTTGGGAATTCCTGGTGTAATTTCCTTGGTATTTTTTGGGAATTCCCGGGAAAGAAGGGAATTTCCTTGGGTTTTTTGGGAATTCCTGGGGAAAAATGGAATTTTTTGGGGTTTTTTTTTGGGAATTCCTGGGGAAAAATGGAATTTCTTTGGGTTTTTAGGAATTCCTGGTGTTATTTCCTTGGGGGTTTTTGGGAATTCCATTTTTTTGGTTTTTTTTGGGAATTCCTGGGGGGAAAATGGGATTTCCTTGGGTTTTTTGGGAATTCTTTTGGGGTTTTGGGAATTCCTGGGAAAAAGAGGGAATTTTGGGGAGGGTTTTTTTTTTTGAATTCCTGGGGAAAAGTGGAACTTTGTTGAATTTTTGGGGGGGAATTCCCAGAAAAAAGAAGGAATTCTGTAATTTTTTGGGAATTTTTTTCTCCCAGCTGTCCCAGAGTTTTGCTGTGATCCCGTTCTTTGATTCCCAGCTGGATTTTTGGGAATTCCCAGCTGGATTTGTGGGAATTTCCAGCTGGGATTTGTGGAATTCCCAGCTGGATTTGTGGGAATTTCCAGTTGGGATTTGTGGGATTTTCCAGCTGGGATTTGTGGGAATTTCCAATTGGAATTTGTGGGAATTTCCAGCTGGGATTTGTGGGAATTTCCAATTGGAATTTGTGGGAATTTCCAGCTGGGATTTTTGGGATTTTCCAGATGGATTTTTGGGATTTGCCAGCTGGGATTTGTGGGAATTTCCAGCTGGATTTGGGGAATTTCCAGCTGGATTTGGGGGATTTTCCAGCTGGATTTTTGGGATTTTCCAGCTGGATTTTTTTGGAATTTCCAGTTGGATTTTTGGGATTTTCCAGCTGGATTTTTGGGAATTCCCAGCTGGATTTGTGGAATTTCCAGCTGGAATTTGTGGGATTTTCCAGCTGGATTTTTGGGATTTCCCAGCTGGATTTTTGGAATTTCCAGCTGGATTTGTGGGAATTTCCAGCTGGGATAGGGAAATCTCCCTCTTTTCCCTCCGGCCCGGGGGTTTTTCCGGGTGGAACGAGGCTGGGCTTTGCCCCTGAGGTTTTTCCAGGATTTCCTGTGGCTGTGGCTCCCTTTTCCCGCCGTTTTCCCCGTGTTCTCCTGTCGTTTTTTCCCATTTTTCCCCGTTTTTCCCGCTGTTTTTCCCGCCCCTCTCGGAGCGTTCGGTGCCGTTGTGTCCGTTGTGAAATGGGAGAAAATTCCCGAGGTTTCTGTGGATTTTAAAGGACTCAACCTGAGCTCATCCCGAATTTCTCGTCTTTGGAAAAGCCCCCAACCCCAAATTCCCGGTTTTTTTGGGAAAATCCCGGTGCTGCCGTGGGTGGAGTTGGGATTTTCGTGCCCAAAATTGGGGAAATGTTGGAATTTGGGAGCCAGGAATGGTCCTGGGGGAGGGCAGGGGGATTTAGGGGGTTGGGAATTGGGGAATTGGGGGTTTGGGAGGGAGAAATTCCTGCCAGGAATGGGGGAAATCTGCTGGATTGGGAGAATTCCCACCAGGAATGGGAAAAATCCTGCCAGGGATGGGGAAATTCCTGCCAGGAATGGGGGAAATCTGCTGGATTGGGAGAATTCCCACCAGGAAAGGGGAAATTCCTGCCAGGAATGGGGAAATTCCTGCCAGGAATGGGGGAAATCTGCTGGATTGGGAGAATTCCCACCAGGATTGGGAGAATTCCCACCAGGGATGGGGAAATTCCTGCCAGGAATGGGGAAATTCCTGCCAGGAATGGGAGAATTCCCACCAGGGATGGGGAAATTTCTGCCAGGATTGGGAAAATTCCTGCCAGGAATGGGAGAATTCCCACCAGGAAAGGGGAAATTTCTCCCAGGAATGGGAGAATTCCTTCAGGGATCTGGAAATTCCTGCCAGGAATGGAAAAATTCCTTCTGGAATGGTGAAATTCCTGCCAGGATGGGAGAATTCCTTCAGGAATTGGGAAATTCCCGCCAGAAATGGGAAAATTTCTGCCAGGATTGGGAAAATTCCGTCCCGAAATGGGAGAATTCTTCTCAGAAAAGGGAAATTTCCCTTCAGGAATGGGAGAATTCCTGCCAGGAATGGGGAAATTCCTTCAGGAATAATGGTGAAATTCCTGCCAGGAATGGGGAAATTTCTGCCAGGAATGAGAGAATTCTCCTCAGGAAAGGGAAATTTCCCTTCAGGAATGGGGGAAATTCCACTCAGGAATGGAAAAGAGATGAAAAAAACGGAAACATGATGGAAATGGGATGGAAAAAATGATGAGAAAAGGGGTGGACAGAGGGATTTGGGGACATTTGGAGGGGATTTGGGGGCACTGTGAGGGGATTTGGGGATATTTTGATGGAATCTGGGGACGTTTTGAGGAGATTTGGGAACGCTGAGGGGATTTGGGGACAGCGTGAGGGGATTTGGGAACACTTTGAGGAGATTTGGTGACCCTGAGGGGGTTTGGGGACATTTTGAGGGGATTTGGTGACTCTGAGGGGATTTGGGGACATTTTGAGGGGATTTGGGGATGCCGTGAGGGGGTTTGAGGACATTTTGAGGGAATTTGGTGACATTGTGAGGGGATTTGGGGATACTGTGAGGGGGTTTGGTGACCCTGAGGTGATTTGGGAACACTTTGAGGGGATTTCGTGACCCTGAGGGGATTTGGGGACGCCGTGAGGGGGTTTGAGGATATTTTGAGGGAATTTAGTGACATTGTGAGGGGATTTGGCGACACTGTGAGGGGATGTGGGGACACTGTGAGGGGATTTGGTGACATTGCGAGGGGATTTGCGGTCCCTGAGGGGATGTGGGGACCCTGAGGTGATTTGGGAACATTTTGAGAGGATCTGGGGTCCCTGAGGGGATTTGCGGTCCCTGACGGAAATTCCTCTGGATCTCACTGAGGGCTGGGGACACTCACTGTGAGGCACTGGGGCATTGTCACTGGGAGGGGCCGCTCCGGGCCCGTTTTGAGGCCGGTTCGGGGCCGGGCCGGGCCCATTCCGGGTTCGCTTCGGGGCCGCTCCGCTCCCGGCCCCGGGCACTCCATGGCGGCCCCTCCTCCCCTCACGGCCGGCAAGGGGCGCGCCCCGCGGCGCCGTCCAATCAGGAGCCAGAACGCCTGTGATTGACAGGCCGTGCCCTCAGGGAGGAAGCGCCTCCACCAATCAGATCGAGGGCGGGAACCAGTCCGACCAATAGGAGCTGTGGGTGGGCCGCGCCGCTGAGGAGATCAACCAATCAGAAGTGTTGTGGGCGAGGCCAAACGGGAGGCGGGCGGTGCCGCGCGTGCGCAGGCGGCTGAGGCGGGCGGTGAAGCGGCGGCGGCGCCGGGCGGACGCGGCGGCGATGGAGCCGGGATACGGCGGTAGGTCCCGGGCGGAGCGGCCCCGTGGTGCTGCCGCTCCCTCGGGGTGGCGGTGGCTCCTTCTCGTCGCTACCTCAGCACCGGCTCCGTTACCGGCGAATGACGGGGGGGGGCTCCGCGGTAGCGGGAAGCGCAGCGCCCGCCCCCCCGCGAGGTGCCGGCGCCGCTAATTGGCTAAGCACCACGTCACTCACCGCTAGGGCGGCGCTGATTGGCTGTTAGGGGCTGGGGGGGGTCGTGCCCTGAGGGGGACGGGGGGGGCGGAAATGGCGCCGGGCCCATTTCTGAAGACGACACAAAATGGCGGCCTCGGCCCCGCCCCCGCCGCCTGTGCCTCAGTTTCCCTCGTCCTGGCCCGGCCCAACCGTGGCGACACCCGGGGGGATCCCGTGTCCCCTTCCTTGGGGGCCTGTGCCCTCCTCAGGACGTCCCGTGGTCCCTCCTGAGGGGATCCCGGTCCCCTCCTCAGGGAGATCCCCCTGGAGTCCCCGCCTTGGATCTCCCCTGGATCTCCCTCCCGATCTCCTCTGGGAATTCCCTCCTGGAATCTCCTTAGGATCCCCTCAGGATTCCCCCTGGAAACTCCCTGGATCTCCCTTCAGGATTCCCCCTGGATCTCTTCAGGATCCCTCTAGAAATTCCCCTGGATCTCCTCAGGATTCTCTCTGGAGATTCTCTCAGGTTCCCCCTTGGAAATTCCCCTGAGGATCCCCCCCCGGAAATTCCTCTGGATCCCCTCAGGATCTCCCCTGAATCCCCTCAGGATCTCCCCTGAATCCCCTCAGGATTCTCTCTGGAAATTCCCTGTGGATTCCCCCTCAGAATCTGCCTGAATCCCCTCAGGATCTCTCTTGGAAATTCCCCTGGATCCCTTCAGGATCTTCCCTGGAAATTCCCTCAGGATCTCCCTGGAATTTCCCCTGGATCCCCTCTCAGGTTTCCCCCTGGGTTTTCTCAGGATCTCTCCTGGAAATTCCCTGGATCCCCTCAGGATTTCCCCCTCAGGATCTCCCCTGAATCCCCTCAGGATTCTCTCTGGAAATTCCCTGTGGATTCCCCCTCAGAATCTGCCTGAATCCCCTCAGGATCTCTCCTGGAAATTCCCCTGGATCCCTTCAGGATCTTCCCTGGAAATTCCCTCAGGATCCCCCTGGAATTTCCCCTGGATCCCCTCTCAGGTTTCCCCCTGGGTTTTCTCAGGATCTGTCCTGGAAATTCCCTGGATCCCCTCAGGATTTCCCCTAGAAATTCCCTTGGATCCCTTCAGGATTTCGTCTGGAAATTCCCCTGGATTCCCTCAGGATTCCCCCTGGATCCCTTAGTAATCCCCCCTGGAATTTCCCCTGAATTTTTCAGCCTGAAAAAAGGGGTCAGGAAAATCCACCCTGATTTTTTTTTTTTTTTTTTTTTAAATTTTTTTTTTATTATTTATCCCAGGCTTGGCTTCTTTTCCAGGCTCACTTTGGATTTCAGGGCTGGGATTTGGGATCGGGGCTGGATTTTGGGGCTGGATTTGGGATCAGAGTTGAAGTTTAGGATTTCAGCTGGATTTTGGGATTGGAGCTCGATTTTGGGCGGGATTTGGGGCTGGGATTTGGGATCAGGGCTGGATTTTGGGGCTGGGATTTGGGATCAGAGTTGGAATTTAGGATTTCAGCTGGATTTTGGGATTGGGGCTGGATTTTGGGTGGGATTTGGGGCTGGGATTTGGGATCAGAGTTGGAATTTAGGATTTCAGCTGGATTTTGGGATTGGGGCTGGATTTTGGGTGGGATTTTGGCCTGGGATTTGGGATCAGGGCTGGATTTTGGGGCTGCTTTTGGGATCAGGGTTGGAATTTAGGGCTGGATTTGGGATCGGGGCTGGAATTTGGGGCTGGATTTTGAGATTGGGACTGGATTTTGGGATCAGGGCTGGAATTTTGGGATTGGCTCAGGAAAAGTGGGAATTTTCCCTTCCCTGCTGACATCTCCTCCTTTCCCAGGCTATGGCTCCTGGAGCACCGGGGCCACCGGCACCCAGGGTGAGATTTTCCCAACTTTTCCTCTACTTTTCCTTTTCTCCCCCTTCCCCCCCACTTTTTTTCCCATTTCCCCCCCATTTTTCTCCCATTTCCCCCTCATTTCCCCCCTTTTTTCTCCCCATTTTCTCCCATTTTATTAATTTCCCCCCATTTTTCCTGCATTTTATTATTTTTTCTCCCATTTCTCCCCCATTTTTCTCTCCATTTCCCCCCATTTTTCTTGCATTTTATTCTTTTTTTCTCCCATTTCCCCCAATTTCCCCCCATTTTCTTCCCATTTTATTAATTTTTTCCCATTTTCTCCCCATTTCCCCCCATTTTTCTCCCCTTTCCCCCCATTTTTCTCCTATTTTTTCCCACTTTCCCCCCTTTTCCCCATTTTTCCAATTTTCCTCTTTTTCTCCCCCCTTTTTCCCATTTTCCACCCTTCCCTCCCCACCCCATCCCCACTCCCAAAACCTCTGCACCCCAAACCCTTTTTTCCCTCTTTTACTGCTTTTTCCTGCAAAACCCCTCAGAATTCCATCCAGCCCCCCCAAATCCCAAATCCCCCCTTTTCCCAGAAACCCCAAACATTTCAGCCCAAATTTCAGCTTTTTTCCCATGAAAAATTCCCATTTTTTCCCATTTTTTCCAGGTTCCTATGGCACCAACACGACCAGCTGGCAAGGTGGGTGTGAGGGCTCAGGATCTTTGGGAATCTGGCAATTCCCAAATTCCCTAATCCTGCCTTTTTCCCCCTTTTCCTTCTTCCCCCCCCCCCATTTTCCCAACTTTTTTCCTCCTTTTCCCCCATTTTTCCCCTAATTTTCCCCGATTTTTCCCGTCCCTTTTCCCTTTCTTTTCCCAATGTTTTCCTCTTTTTCCCTCTTTCCCTCCTTTTTCTTTCCTTTTTGCCATTTTCCCCCTTTTCCCCCCATTTTTACCTTTTTTCCCCCCTTTTTTCCCCTTTCTTTTCCCAATTTTTTCCTCCCTTTTTCCCATTTTCCCCCTTTTCCTTCCTTTTTTCCCTCTTCCCTCCCCTTTTTTCTTCCTCTCCCCACTCCCTTTATTCCTCACTTTTAGCAGGGCTTTTCCTGCTGGGCTCCCACCCCTGTAACTCTTCAATTCCCCCCTTAATGACCCTCTAACTAATTAATTAATTAACTAATTGACTAATTCCTCCCCAGGCTATGAAGGCCATGAGTTCTACACCCCCCAAATTCCCTTGGAATCCTCTCAGGGCTTGGAATCTTCCCAGGATTTTTCCTGCTGGGCTCCCAGCACTGTAACCCTGTAACTCTACAGTTCTTTCCTTAACGACCCTCTAATTAATTAGTTAATTAATTAATTGACTAATTCCTCCCCAGGCTACAAGGGTAAAGAGTTCTACACTCCCCAAATCCCCTTGGAATCCTCCCAGAGCTTTTCCTGCTGGGCTCCCACCCCTGTAACTCTTCAACTCCCCCCTTAATGATCATCTAATTAATTAATTAATTAACTAAGTAACTAATTCCTCCCCAGGCTATGAAGGCTATGAGTTCTATACCCCTCAAATCCCCTTGGAATCCTCCCAGAGCTTTTCCTGCTGGGCTCCCACCCCTGCAGCTCTTCAACTCCCCCCTTAATGACTCTCTAACTAATTAATTAATTAACTAATTGACTAATTCCTGCCCAGGCTACAAGGGTAAGGAGTTCTATATCCCCCAAATCCCCTTGAAATCCTCCCAGAGCTTTTCCTGCTGGGCTCCCACCCCTGTAACTCTTCAACTGCCTCTTTAATGACCCTCTGACTAATTAATTAATTAACTAATTGACTAATTCCTGCCCAGGCTACGAAGGCTACGAGTTCTACACCCTCAAATTGCTTTGGAATTCTTTTGCCTTGGAATCCTCCCAGAGCTTTTCCTGCTGGGCTCCCACCCCTGTAACTCTTCAACTCCCCCCTTAATGACCCTCTGACTAATTAATTAATCCCAATTTTATTTCCATTTCTTCTGCCCTAATCTCAATTTTATTCCCCTTTTTCCAGCTCCTTTGCTTCGGCTCCCTGGGTGCCTTCTCCTCGCGCGACTCCCGGGATCCGTTCCGCGGCTCCCTCCCTCTTCCCGAGGGTCTCCCGGAGCGGGACGATCCCTTCGGAGCCCGCGGCGGGGGGGACGCCTCCCGCCGCCCCGCGGGGCCGTCCCGGGGCTCCCCGGGGGGTTCCCGGGGCCGGTGCCAGCCGCGGGGCCGGCGGCTCCCGGAGCCCTTCCCGGGAGGCTCCCGCTGGAGCGAGGCGCCGTTCGCGGGGAGCCGCGCCTCGCGGCCGCTGCCCTCGCTCTTCTCCCAGGCGCTGGAGTACCCCGGGGACTACCCCGAGTACCCCGGGGACTACCCCGGGGACTACCCCGGCGATTATCCCGATTTCCCGGGCGATTATCCCGACTATCCCGGCGAGCTGGGCGTGCTGGGAATGCCCCCCCCGGGCCGCGGCCCCTACGGCATGAGGAGGAGGGACAGGATGGGAGCCCTGCCCTGGAACGGCCTCAGCCTGGTGAGTCCTGCCACCCCCTCTCCTTCCCAAACTTTTTCCTGCTTTTTGCCCCACTTTTCCCAATTTTTTCTTCCTTTTTTCCCCCTTTTTCCCATTTTTTCCCACTCTTTTCCCCAATTTTTCTCACTCTTTTCCCCATTTCTTCCCCAATTTTCCCCACTTTTTTCCCCCACTCTTTCCCCCTTTCTCCAATTTTCCCCTCCTTTTTCCCCATTTTTCCCCCCTTTTTCCTACTCTTTCCCCCTTTTCCCTACTTTTTCACACTTTTTTCCCCCAATTTTTCCCACTCTTTCCCCCTTTCTCCCATTTTCCCCTCCTTTTTCCCCTTTTTTCCCTCACTCTTTCCCTCTTTTTCCCCCTTCTTTCCCACTCTTTCCCCAGTTTTTCCCACTTTTTCCCCCTCCTTTTCCCCCCTTTTTCCCTACATTTTACCTCCACTTTTTTCCCTTGTTTTCCCAACTTTTTCCCATTTTTCCCCCCACTTCTCTCCCAGTGTTTTCCACTTTTCCCCACTTTTTCCCTGTTTTTTTCCCCACTCTCTCCCATTTTTTTCCTCTGTGGATCCCCCGTTTTTGGCTTTTCCACCATTCCTGACCTTTTCCCGTTCCTTTCCCGCCATTCCTGCTCCCTTTTCCTGTTGTTTTCCCACCATTCCCTGCTCCCTTTTCCTGTTCTTTTCCTGTTGTTTTCCCACCATTCCCTGCTCCCTTTTCCTGTTGTTTTCCTGTTGTTTTCCCACCATTCCCTGCTCCCTTTTCCCATTTTGTTCCCGTTGTTTTCCCACCATTCCCTGCTCCCTTTTCCTGTTGTTTTCCCATTCCTTTTCCCACCATTCCTGACCGTTTTCCTGTTGTTGTCTCACCATTCCTGACCTTCTCCCGTTGTTTTCCTGTCATTTTCCCGTTGTTTTCCCGTTATTTTCCCGTTGTTTTCCCGCCATTCCTGACCTTTTCCCGTTCTTTTCCCGTTGTTTTCCCACCGTCCCTGACCCTTTCCCCGTTGTTT